CTCATTTGTTTAAACATTAGAAGGCACAGAATTTAGCAAAACATTGTGAAACAAGTTAAGAAAACAAGAGTTAAGTATTGAAGGGTTTTTACTGAAAAGGTCCCTTTTAAAACAATGATGTCAAATATTTTAATATCAAGGGGGAAAAGAAGGAAGACACTGCAAATCATTACATATTTCCAAATAAAAAATCAATAGTTATTTCATGATATTTATCTTACAACTTCAGTGGAGTTTGAACTGTCAGAAAACTACAAGGATGAAGTCTCACGTTTTGAACCTGAGAGCAGTAAAAGTCTTTTAGGATGGATTAACATGGCTATATAATCCAGATTATTAAATCAGACAATCCAGATCAAACCAAATAATCTGGATTTTATATGGCAGTGTAACTTGAGCCTAGATGGGGCCTTACGACTCTTCCAGACAGGCTCAAAATGCGGAAACTGACGGGTGTATATGAGGCATCCAAAAAATTCAGGTAAACCCAAATCAATCAGGAGTAAACTGGTATTTCCCAGTTTATTCTGAATTAATTAGATACCTGAATTAATTAGGTGTGGGCACTGTGGGAATTGACTTTCAAGACTGCTTCCATGATCCTGGTGGTCAACACCTGCAATGATCCCAGTTCTTTGGACCCCTGGAGCCTGAAGGAGTGGGATGGCACCTCAACCCTCCTCTCCCAGCCATCCATTTATCCCCTAAACTTTCAATTTGACATGCCAGGAGCTTCTGCCAGAGAGGCCTGAGCATGTAGCCAGACCCCTTAGATAGGTTTAGGGGGTAAATGATGGGCTCCATGCCCCTCCCAAGTAAACCTCTGGTTGACCCAGGAGGGCATGTTGCCACCACATCCTCCCCCCAGGAAAGCTTGGGGTTTGGGATAGGTGTGGAGATTAAATGCTGGAGGAATTGGGATATAATATCCCAGTTCCTCCTGGGATTTAGCTATGTTTGGAAGGGCTCTTAGTGGAGATTAGGTATTGGGGTAAATTATATGTCAGTAGCATGGTCTGTCGATTAGAAAATGAGTGTCATCTTCCACATGGTTCTGAACCTGGATGTCAAAACAGATGGCAAATTCAAAGTAGCTCCGTCATTTTGAAAAATAAATAACAGATGTTTGGAAGAGAGTTTGGGTATTGTTGAATTCCTGAAGGGTGGGGAGTGTGAAGTATAGACATTATAAGGAGCTCTGTTCAGAACATAGTGGTTTGTCACATCCTTTAAATAAATGTTAAATGGGGATAATCTGTTTTGTATTTGTTGTATCTTACCTGACCTTCTGTATCTAAGATGTAACTTGGTATTACTCATAGAGAATGGAAATATATAATTTGAAGGGATAGTTCATACAGTGATGTACATTTTGCATCACTTCATTATACAATGCTTGATGAGTCAACCAAATGTGTGAACTGTCTCTGGTTAAAAACATTGTATTTGGGTTGGCATTATACTATATGAAATTTTACGCTGAAGCCTTTATGTTTGACTGCACTTTAGAATGATTGGTTGGATTCTTCAGACACTGTTCACAGAACTGCACATGTGTATTTTGAATATTGGGAGGAATGAGGTTCATAATAAACAATGAACACCTACGAATCTTTGCTTTTTTCAGACCTTTGCATGAACAGTTGATACATGTGTTCAGTCACGGGACTGAAAAGTGACAAAAACATATGTGAGAAATTTGGGGTTAGGGAAGAGAAGCCTTGATTTTCAGGAAGTAATATCTACTCTTTATTTATTTAGAAAGGAGCATTTGTACTCATGTTCAAACAGATGTCACCTTAATGAGAAAATGTACAAAAAAAGGCCAAGATCTTAATAGGATTCCTGGCTAAAATTTGATAATACTGCCACAAGAAATAGCAATTGCCTATAGTTTAGATTGAATTTAGATTACTAGATATATTTATGGAGGCTAGGTCTATCAACTGTGAAAGTTTAAATGCAAATTACATATTCAGTGGATGTGTACTGTCATTTCCAATTACTTGGAGCAAGAAACAGTGCAGGGAATATTTCTGTCTACTTGCATTGGAGATGAAAGTGCTGGACAGAACAGAACCTTAGGATGATCTAACACAAGTTGCTATACCCCTTTCTCCATTTTCTGTACACATCAGGAGAAATAAATATAGAAAAGTAAAAACATCACTAAACAGCAGTTTCAGGAGTGCACATTTATTTGTTTCTTTGTGAATATTTTCCCTATTTCTTTCTTTTTGAGGGGAAGAGGGATTTTTGAGATCTGAAACTGATGGCATCTCTAGAGCCGAGTATCCTTTCAAGAACTGCTTAGTTGCTTCAGACTAACTGGAATGCATGAGCATGGAAGGAGGGTGAAGACATAAAAAGCAATTCCAGTTTAAAGAAGTAGATGACCATTACGATTAAACTAAATGCAGTGATCCAGTGTTAAATAGATGCCAGTTTGTGCACTTGCAGTTCAGTTAAAAACAAACACACCTTTATTGATTGTGCTATTCATGGCTCCAGGGAAATTTCTTAACATGAAATTTAGTTGGTGCACAAGAAAATGTGCCATCTTAAGTACTGGTCTAAACAAGATCTGTTGCTGTTTCAAATCTTGGGATTATTAGATCTTTTAAATTGGGGAGGGGCAATTTATTAATTTGTTTTTTTCAGAAAGACGAAGACCTAGCTTTCCAAAACAGTTGTATTGTCCATAGTGTTTGATTACAATTAAAGTGTGTAAGTGTATATTTATGTGTCTTCAAGTTGGCTGTCAATTTATGGTGACTCATGAATTCCATAGAGTCCCCTTGGGGAGTCCTCTTGGGGAGATAGGGCGGAATATAAATAAATAAATTTCCCTGAGTCCCCTTGGGAAGATAGGGTGGAATCAATCAATCAATAAATTATTATTATTATTATTATTATTATTATTATTATTATTATTTTATTGGGCAAAGAATACGTAGAGGTGGTTTTACCAGTTTCTTCCTCTGAAATATACAGCACCTTGTAGTCATAGATGGTACTAACCAGGGCTGACAGTGCTTAATTTCGACATCAGAAGGGATTTCATGCCTTTAGGGTATTTAGTCCTTGGCCGACAATGAAAGACAAAAGCCTAAATCCAATTGCTTATCTCAACTAAAGTATGCCCAGTGAATCAATTACTGAATCACAAATCAACAGGTATGTAAACCTCATTTGTTCAATTTGTCTAATCAGATTGGGATTAGCTTTTGGATTTAGTCCAAAACATTATCACGTAAGAAAGAAAACAGCCACTTAAAACAAAAATAGATTGGGCAGATTAAAGCATTTTACCTAGAATCAGGGTTTGCCACATAAAATTTTTATCTGCTTGCAAGATAAATATTTGAGCAGGAAAGATACATTTGGCAAACAACAAGAACAATGGGAGTCAAAGTCTTGCAGGGGATATTCCCCAATCTTGAGTGTGGCCTTGCATGCCATTTGTACTGAGGTGGTAAACCATTGTCGTTCTTGTATGATCCATTTTATACTTCTTTTGTTTTTAGTTTCATTTAGATCCCACCATTCTACACTGCCATATAATCCAGATTATCAGAGCAGATAATACACATTTTTTGCTTTGAACTGAGTTATATGAGTCTATACTGCCATGTAATACAGTTCAAAGCAGATAATCTGGATTTTATATTCAGTGTGGACACTTGAAACTTGGAGTGCATGCTAAGGGGACTGAAAAATGTATACCTGCAGTGATTTTTAATATCCTTAAAACATGTCTGTGTGCTTCAGACCAGAAGTACTATCTTCACATAGCTAACTACTGTCACAAGTTGCAGTGGGAATGATTTGGAGTCACCTCTCCAACTTATTTCACTATTTTAACCGTTAATGAAGCTAAAATTATAGTAAACCCAGGAGGACTGAATCATTTTGTTGTACCTTGCTATAATAATAGGGTAGATGCTTAGGAAAGAATTTCTATCTTGTAAGGCAGTAAACCAGGTCAGTAGAAGTGTAGGCAAAGTGCTATAACTGTGTAGTGTGAATGTGACCTTGTTAAACCTCAAGTATTATTTTCAGGAGATAAAGCTTCCTAATTGCTGTCTTTCATTTTTATCAAAAGTACATAACTGTAATGCTTGAAGAACGGCTATGTTAAGACTAGTTCACACACTTGCAGGTTGACTAAGGGCTAAAACTGGTGATGAGCTCATCCAATGGCAAAAGTCCTTAGAACCGGCCCTTCTCTTTCTGTCATCTCCTTTTCCCTCCAACACTCCCCACTTCTTGACTGATTGCTTTTGGAGGTTTTTGAAATTCATTTGAGGTCTGCATGCTATCCATCCATGCTTGTCTTTATTGTTTTTGTGATATAGAAGACAGATAATAAACCTACTACTGCATTGCATAGACGATAATTTATTTGGAAGTGTATACGTTGAATCTTAATCTATCGTAGCAGCCCTGTGTCATACTGAAAGGCTTAATGTATTTATTCAAGGACATTTCCAAACTGATTTTAAAAAATCAGAAAGATTCAGATTTTGTTTGGGTTCTTCCCAGGCCTCATCTACACTGCCATATAAAATCCAGATTATCTATTTGGATTATATGGTAGGGTAGATCCTGCCCATTTTGTTTTTTAGATCCATACACATTTTATTCATCCCATGATATTTTCTGTTAGTCCTTAGGTTGGTTTATTTTAAGTCATATAATCAGAAAGAAGAGGACAGAATTTGGGACTTCAATTAGTCTGGATATGCTGGGAGACAAGGATAGGAATTGTGCGACCATACAGATATGCTTGAATTGCAATTCCGTACTTTCATTACTATTGTTCATGCCTCTAGGAGTTGTCGTCCAACAGAATCTTCACCAGACAAGTATAGCTTTCATGTTATAGTTTCCTTTTCAAGTATGGTTTAGACTCCTCCATCTGTTTTGGATACATGTCATGCTAAAACAGTGTATTTCTCAATATATAGTTTTAAGTGCCATTTGCTTTTGTTTTTCAGATAACCACTCTCATTAACCACAAAGATAAGCCAAAACGGTCAGACAAGACTTTGAGAGCAGTCCAGCAAGTGGGTCAAGCGGTTAATTTGGCTGTTGGAAGATTTGTTATGGTGGGCGAAGCCATAGCCAATGAGAACCAAGAGCTGAAAGAGGAAATGAAGATTGCCTGCACTGAAGCAAAGCAAGCTGGTAGGTGGATGTTTAGAGAACACAAATGGCTTGCCTTTATCTCTGTTGTGAGCATCCCAGAAAATGCTGCCTGCCTTTAGCTCTTCAAGATAGTTTGAGACCTGATAGATACAATAATTTAGTAATGATTTTGTCTCCAATAGAGAATTGTAATTTAAATCTTTTTAGTGTTTGGAGCAGTGCCTATATCATCCCACAGGGAATTCCTCTATCTAGAATGCCTTCTGTTTTGCTGAAATCGTACTAATTCCTGCTGCTGATTGTTCTAAGTAAAATGAAGCATTAACACAGATAAATTGTGAGGTGACCACACTTCTCAACAGTGTGATGCAATCATTATTAAAATCTTTGGTACGAGGTAAAAATGTTTAGGTTACCGGTTGTCTAAACTTAAGAGGCTCAAATTTTGCTTTTTTTTTGGGGGGGGGGGTGCTTTTTCTGCTATATGGCAGTGTGGAACATTTGAAGGACACAACAAAAGTCTGTAGACACAGACTACTTCCTTTTGAATTGCAGCATGGAATAACACTGGATGGTTAAATCTAGAGCCTTCAAATGTAGGGAGATTAAAGATTTTCTAGCTAGCTATAGTTCAGGGCCAACTGGAAAGGTAGATAAAGGTTTCCCCTGACATTAAGTCTACTTGTGTCCCACTCTGAGTGATGGTGCTCATCTCCATTTCTAAGCCGAAGAGCCACCGTTGTCCGTAGACACCTCCAAGGTCATGTGGCTGGCATGACTGCATGGAGCACTGTTACCTTCCTGCCAGAGTGGTACCTATTGATCTACTCACATTCACATGTTTGCGAGCTCCTAGATTGGCAGCTGGGGCTAACAGTGGGAGCTCACCCCAATCCCCGATTCAAACCGCCAACTTTTCGGTCAGCAAATTCAGCAGCTGTGCCACCAGGTGGCCCTAAACTGGAAAATTGTGGGTATTTTATTTATCAAGATGACATAATTGGACAAGGCCGGGATTCCAGGAAGAGAGTGTACACAAAGTGCAGGAGTCTGCAAAACAAAGCAATGGATCAGAGACATCATAGCAACCAAGATGGTCCCAATTAGCTAGTCAGCAGGCCAAACTCATAAAAATGTTTGCTTTGCAAGCATTTAAGAGGGGGGAAAAAAACAAACCTCTTTCCTGGTGAGTCCAATTGTGTCCTTTAGGGCAGAGGTCCAGGGCATGATCAATGCAATAGATGCTTGACCTGCCGAAGTTTGAAGCAAGTGAAGTAAAACAAAATGGTCACTGTTTTGAATTCCCGTACCTTTTTTTTTTTTTTTTTTTTTTTTTTTTTTTTTTTTTTTTGTTTTTTTTTTTTTTTTTTTTTTTTTTTTTTTTTTTTTTTTTTTTTTTTTTTTTTTTTTTTTTGTTTTTTTTTAACTGTTTTGAATTCCCGTACCTTGGGAAGTCGGATCTGGCCACGGTGGTCCACGCTCTTGTTACATCCCAGATAGATTACTGCAACACACTCTATGTGGGGTTGCCTTTGAAGACTGTTCGGAAACTTCAATTAGTCCAGCGGGAGGCAGCCAGACTGCTCACTGGAGCGTCATACAGGGAGCATACCACCCCCCTGTTATGTCAGCTCCACTGGCTGCCGATCCAGTTCCGAGCACAATTCAAAGTGCTGGTTTTGACCTACAAAACCCTACACGGTGTCCGAACGCATCTCCCTTTACATCCCACCTCGGAGTTTGAGATCGTCTGGGAGGCCTTGCTCTCGGCCCCGCCTCTGTCACAAGTGAGATTGCGGGGACGAGGAGCAGGGCCTTCTCAGTGGTGGCTCCTCACCTATGGAATTCACTCCCCGGGGAAATTAGATCAGCAACATCCCTCCTTTCCTTCAGAAAGAAATTAAAAACATGGATGTGGGACCAGGCGTTTGGGCAATCTGGCAGATGAATAAAGGACTGTGACGACGGATAGGAATGGACAATGTGGAACGAAATATGACTCTGAGTTGGCGAACGCTGTGTCTGAGATTGGCTATCGATTGTGAGATATATTGTTGTTTTAATTGTTGACCATTTAATTGCTGTTTTTATATGTTATTGTAATTGTGTGGGCACCAAGATGTGCCTCTTTGTAAGCCGCCCTGAGTCCCCCCTCGGGGGTTGAGAAGGGAGGGGTAGAAGTATACAAAATAAACAAATAAATAAATAATACTGGTGTTCTTAATGGCTATCTCTGTGATTTATATTGTTAGCCACTTTGAGCTCCCATGATTAATACTGATTGTGTTTTAAAATAAATAAACAACTCATGTCCGCTCTGTAATATCATTGAATCCACCACCTAAAATTTCCTAACTGCGTGAATGACAACTCATAGGTTAGTCTCCCTACCCTTTTGTCACATTCAGTCATCATCCAGTGAAGCCAGCATCCAATTCTCAATATTCCTCAGGGGCTGGAAAAGTTACTTTTTGGACTAAAGCTCCCAATGGTCATGCTGGTGGGAGAATTCTTATAATTAAAGCCCAAAAAGTAACTTTGCCCATGGTGTTAGGAACAGCTCTGAAGTGGTTTAACTGACGTGTTTCCTTTCATTTGTAGGGGAAACCATTGCACAGCTTACCGACATAGCAGCTTTGGATCATCCAGAATCCGATGGCCAGATAACCATTTTTACAGACAAAACCGATGTGGTTAAGGCTGCAAGATTGCTCCTTTCTTCAGTGACAAAAGTACTGGTACTGGCTGACAGAATAGTTGTTAAGCAGATTATAAATTCTAGAAACAAGGTATGCATTGTTTTTATTAATACTGGCAATACATTCTTACCTGTCTGAATCACTTGAGTGAGAATGAGGATGTTGTGCTGTTCTAATAGTATTGTATGTGTGTCATGCAGCTAAATTTAAACTTTTGCCAGCATCATTGATAGCAATGGGACTTGATTACCTAACTGGTAGGTAAAACACAAATGAATGTGTTTTTATTTTTTTAATTGGGTTGTTTATTTAATGAGTTTTACAAACTTCTTTACTGTTACGTTTTTAGCTGTACTGCATTTCAACCTATATTGTAAGCTGCTTTGGAGTCAAATGCTAAGAGAAAAAATGGAATAAATAAAAAGAAATATGAATGATATCCCTAAATTTTGTATTGAATTCAATGAAACTTGGGAGTACTGAACTTTGTTTGAGTTAACCATTACTAGAACAAAGTTGGAGAAACAAATTTGGTGAAAGTGAAATGGATATTTGTTGTATAATATATAATTAGGTCTGAATATGTAGAGCTTACCTCAATTTCTAAGATGAAATCTTAATCTTGTTTTGTTCAGCAATAGTATAGGTTTATCACTGGTGGTTTTTAAAATTATGTTTGACAGGTCCTTTTAACCATGGAGCGGCTAGAAAAAGTCATTAGTTTTCAGGAGTTTGTGCAAATATTCAGTCAGTTTGGAAATGAAATGGTAGAATTTGCTCATCTAACTGGAGATCGACAAAATGTAAGTATCCAGAAAAAAATTATGAATCCTGTGCTTCAAAAATGTAGTAGAGTAATGAAAATATTGTGTTCTTCTTAAACCTGCCTTTGTCTGGAAAGAACATCTGTCTGCATTTTTTTCTGTCTTCAGAACTCACTTTTGCTTTCTTTTGTTTTATAATTATTTACATAAATTAAAAAAATTGGCTATTGTAAGCAGAGCTGGAAAAAGTCACTTCTGTTGAGTTCAAGTGTTAGGGAATTCTGGACATTTTGGTAAAACAATTGCCATTGAACATGATATTTCCATTCATGCCTTCTAGTTAAATTCTCAGTGATACAGAATACCTTTAGTAATAAAGGGCTGATTTCTCCAATAGCCTAATATTATATGGCTCCCAGGTCCCAAAGGGAATACATTCCTAGACTTTGCATAATAGTAAGTCCTATTGAAATGAAGAACTTCCCAGTGCAAGAACAACATGCAGTCCTGCTGGAGAACCTCAAAAATGACATATTTTATTGAAAGCAGGTAAATGAAACTGTGGATATGAGTCCCATGGACATTTGGGTGGGGTGGGGGGTCTATTGTACTATTTACAATTATCACACTTCCCTTCTGAAGGAAGAAATATGGATAGTAAATAGTGGAGGACTGGTATTATATTGATGGCTTTTGTAGATGAAGAGCTGTGACTAAAGTGAAGAATATTAGTTTACTAGTTAGTTTGGTCTTACATGTATTTATTATTTATTACATTTCTGCTATAACTCTCTGTCCACTTTAAGAAACCAAACTTAAATAATAATAACAGTAATACTAATACAATTAATAATAAATAAATAAATAATTTTATTTCTTAATCACTTAAAATACACAGATTAAAACATATTTCTAAACAACTGAATACCAAAACATAATAATATATAATGGAAATTATATGTTTAAAACTATTTAACTAGGCAAACATAAAGAAGGAAAAGGTAAGTAGCTGTAGCTAGCTAAGCAATCTCTGAATAGAAATAGGACTGCGGTTGCTCTGTCAATCTGACATTGACAAAAAGTATGTGTACCACTGAGACCATCTGTGTCCCCAGTGGCAATCCTGGATCCAAGATCTTACATTGATTGTTTGAATTGAAATTGCATACTTTGAAAATGTATTTAGCTTTCCAGATATCATAGAGAATGAACAATCAAGGTGATTTTATGGTTTCTGTTTTTCTTGGACGTGGAATCTGAAGGTTTTCAGAGGCATTGTTTTATTTTCTTCTTACTGCTTAACATAATTGTGCATGGCCTCCAGTTTTGTCACTAACAATAAGAAAAAAGTAACATGGGTATGAAACATCTGTTGTGCACCGGGAGACTGCATATGTGGCTAGCATCTGGATGAATTTTGAAAATAATAGATTTAAAGTCATAGGCGAGAAGGAAAGTCTCTTCTGCTCTAATATAGGATTCACTACTGCTCTTATATTTCATGCAAAATTATTAAAATTGGAGAAATGATTTCCCTGTGTTAGAGAAAATAGCTAAAAAACTGTTTCCTCTTGATTTTAAAAGTAGATTTCCTGACATGCAAGTAGATTAGAACTGGTACTTATTTGGGAAGTGTGTTAGTTTTAGATCCTTTTCTGTCTTTCTGTATTTTGTTAAGTACTTGTGTGGTAGTGACTAAAACTCACTATCTTAGGGTGGAAAAGGACTATAAATAAGAATGTAAAACCTGAAGAATTAGGAAAGCAAATAAAGTGAAAGGTCTTCAGTATAGATTGTTGCTTGTTTTTGTAGATTCATTGATAATCTTATAGTATTTGTTGTTTCTCCTACACATCAACTGCTGGAGTCATATTACTAGGTGAGAAGCCTAGCTTACAATTTTTGTCAAATAAATTGCTATAATAGGTTCACATCCTGAAGTGGTGGAATAACACAGGGAGACAAAAGTTATAGCTAATGGCTTGATTTTTCCATTTACATATATTGTTTGCTGTTCTGAGTAGCACCTTGGTTAGATGGTTTGCAGCTCAAGCAGGACTCTGATTAAGCAGTGTTAGCATAAAGTTAAGTTGGTAGGCTGGTGAAGGTGCAGCCTATAGGTTGCATTGTACTCACTAGGTTTAGCCAGCCCCATCCCAGACCTTCACACAACCCAGTTTTAGAAAGGTTAAAAGATGCATGAAACCCATCACCCCCAGATTATCTTGAAATTCCATAGCTCTCTGAAACTCCCACCTTGAAAAACCTGGAACCCGCAACTGGAAGTAATTTCTCATTGTGATTGAAATGGGATGGTGCAGTCTGTGATAGGTTCATAGGAACTAAAATGACCCGTGCAGTTACCCAAATTGTCTTAAAATAATTGTGCTCTTGCCTTAAGCTTTGTACTTTAGTTGTGTCCTGTCTTTTGTGTTCATGTCTTGAACAAACAATGATATGAGAGTCTATATTGCATGACTCCTCCCAACACTGGATTGCAAATTCATTAGATGTAGGCAGGAATCTACCAGCTAGGTACTTCCAGACTGTGAGTCTTTGGTCTTCCTTTTCAATGGTGCTCTTATATCTTCTGGAACATGTATCCAACTTGTCACATCAATAATGCTAAATGCTATAATTACTGACTGCCAATAACTTTGTTTTCTTTTGGTAGGATCTAAAAGATGAAAAGAAAAAGGCTAAGATGGCAGCTGCTAGGACAATTCTTGAGAAATGTACAATGATGCTTCTCACAGCTTCCAAGGTAACTTGTTTCACTTTTTAATGAGAATTTCTCTCTTGAGCTCCTTTATTCCAGCAACATATGGAGAAGAAATTGACAGAAGCAATGGGAACATCATACAGGGAAGATGGAGGGCTTTCTAAAGAGCAGTGCTTAAATGTTGACAAACACCATGGTTGACTAAGTGACAGGACTGAGAATCAACCTTCACTATTTTGCTTGTAGCAGCGTATATTGTATATAAGGATTAATCTTGGGAGACTGCACAGAGCTATCTTGGTAACATTTACTTTTTTTTTTCTTTTTCAAGACCTGTTTAAGGCATCCTGACTGTGAATCTGCACGTGTAAACAAAGGAGCCGTGTTCCACAGAATGAGACTAGCTCTGGAGCAGGTAATAGAGATTGTAACAGATGCTCGACTCATTGGAGAGAATGAACCAGGGCCAGTGAGCATCTATACTGGCATCAAAGAATTCAAGGTGAGGAATTTTGTTTAGTTCTTGAGTAAATTATGAAATCACAAAACGTATAAGGAAAAAAAATGAAAATCTGTTCACATGGTTTGAAGAACAACATGGCTTTCAAATATGTTTGTGATAGTTTTATAGTGTTCTTTTCAGTGCAGCTTACCTACTACCCCCTCCACTTCAAAAATATACAATTCAGTACACTATGTTGTTTTGTATGTGGATAAATCAGCAAAATGCATTTGCAATCAGCATGTTGGGGTCCTCCAAATTGTGAATATAAGAAGAGAAAGGGGAATTGTGCAAACTAATATGAGGATATTTGATGAGAGGTTAATAATCAATATGCAAACCATGGATTCCCCCTTTAGGTTTATCAAGAAAAGGTTACATGTTCTAGCTTAAGAGAAACTGGGCAGCCAGGTGTGTTTGGATGATGTGTGGAGCTATAATTCATAGCTCAGTTACTTAGCCACAGTGTTGTATGAGTCCCTAGTATACAGTATTAGGCTTTTCTACATTTTTTGTTTATGATTCCTGCCTTCCCTTTTCAGAATAAAGTTGAAGGTTTGCGAGAGAACATTTATCATCTATCAAAGGAAAACCTTTGGGCATTGCTGCGTGTTGTCCTTGAACATACAGAAGATTTTACAGATTCGGCTTACACTAGCCATGAGAACAGGGAACGCATCTTGGAGCTGGCTAAGCAAGCAAAGATGGAAATGGAGCAGTTGGTGTCAGCATGGATGTATGCTGTAAGATTATTTTTCCCCTAGTATTTCTGATTAGTTCACCACTCTGTGTAAGGAAATATGCTTCAAAATCAATTTGTATGGAACATAAAGCACATGTTTAAAAGTCACACCCAAGAATTCTGGTTTGTTGTGGATAGAGCAGCATCCACTGGCGGGTTGTTTCTTCTTGCAGAAAGAACAGCTAAACAATAATATTGTATGGATTGTATGGTTATTTACTGGAATTATCTCACATCTTTCTGTTGAAGATGGTACTAAAGGCAGTTATTGCAGATGTTCTGTCTGTGGCTTGTTTAGTATCACATTGACACTTGGTAAAAGCTCACAGTGTAGTTTGTTCCTCTAAAAGTGTTTCTCTAGGAAGGTTAGTTAAAAGTATTATGTTATATTTGCAGTCAGCCCTGGCCATTTGCAGTTTTAACTTGTGTGGATTTGATTATTCACATATTTGATTAATATGTTATCTCTAGGAACCTCTATGTCCTCCAATATGGCTCTGTGATCAGCTTCCAGAAGTTGTTGATCATAGAATTGCACCAGAGGACATTGAGATTTGTAGAGATATGTATTCTCAGATAAATAAATTCCAGTTTTTTATTTGTTGGGTTTTTTTTCACTTCGGCTGAGGTCCTGTACTGCAAAAGTGGAGGAACACTTGTACACTAAAACAATTATATTCATGTTATGTTAAAATTGAGTCATTTATTACACTAGTGTTGATTCTGAGTAGGCATTGCTATTTCCCTTGAATTACTACATTTTGTCCTGTAAATGCCAAATGCATCATGCTCATCCTGCTCTAAAATTGTATTTATATAAAAGTTCCCCATGGAGAAGTTTTCTGAGATTCACACTTTAATTTCTGCAGCCCTCATTCCATGTTGCCTGGGACAATGGGAATATGGCTGACTGTCTCTATAGTCAGACCGTGCACAATAATCCTTGTGAGATGATGATTACCACCACTACCACTATTACCACTTCTTATTCTCATTTGTATTTTTTAAAATGTGGTTGGACAACTGCATTGTCTGAAATAATATATTTGGGGTGGGAAATTGTTTCTTTTTAGCAAAGTCAGAAAAAGAAGGATGTCACAGAAGATCTGGAATTAGCCATATTGAAAACGTGTCAGTGTATGAACGAGCTTCACAGAGAAGTACGTATAATTCAGTACAATCTATAGTACATTTTGACCATTTCCGTATAATTTTTGTTGGAAAAAAAATACTTGGCTCAGTAGAGATGTGAGCATTTAGCTGTAATTTCAGCTATTGAACCTGCCATTCAAACCCACTTTTCACAAGAGGCTATTATGAAGTGATTACCGAGTGGAAGCCATGGGCATGATAAGCATGCAAGAACACAAGTTGCTACATTTTGTTGCAGAATTCAGCTTACTGTAGCTTATCATTATCATGAATCCCCAGTATTTTTCTTTATATGCTTTGTGGCTCAGCAAGTATTCTGTGGTCAGCTGCTGTTGATGTATTATAAAATCTAAAATGGGTAGGAAGGTTTATTAGAGCACCATCTGGACAGCTTTGAGCTTACCTAAAAAGGAGATCAACACAAACAAAACTTATCACTTAACAGCAATAGTTGTCAACCTGTGGGTCCCCAGGTGTTTTGGCCAACAAAAACACCAAAAATCCCAGCCAGTTTACCAGCTGTTAGGATTTCTGAGAGTTGAAGGCCAAAACATCTGGGGACACACAGGTTGAGAACCACTGCTTTACAGTTAAATACCATATTTAACCTTTTTCTGGGGAATTTGAAAAGGGTGGCAGTGTTGCATACAGAAGAAAGAAACAGGACATTGCATTCTAGTGCTTGGAAGCTTACTTTATAGGATGGCAACTCCTGTAATACCTCAACCTTGCCTATTGTTCACAAAATTTAGTAATTCACTGTTGTTGTTGTTGTTGTTGTTGTTTTCGCTATATGCAGCTCCTGATTATTTGTAGATTAAAGAGGAAGCCACCAGCGACTTTTGTGTATGTTTTCTGCATAAAAGTGTTTGTGCACCATGGATCACTCCATGTAGTAACCTGCTGTTTTGTGGTGTCTTTCTCCCTCATTACTGAAGCTCCACAGTGTAGCAACTTCTGTCGCAGCAGACCTGATAAAGTATCATTCAGATCACCTCATTCTGAAAGCACTGAAAATCTGTGGCGCTGAAGGAAACATAGAAGCTGTTGCAGAACATAGCTGTAAGCTGTCTGAACAGAAAGAACAACTGATTGAAGTATGTTCCTGCCATGTTCATTAATGTGTTTGTTAGAAAATTGAAGTTTAATTTTGTTATAAAATATGAGAGCTCTGGGCCACTGGCTTATTTAGAGCTGCATACATGTGCTTTCAAATCACCAGGTGACACATGGATTTCCTAATTTCTTTTCTTAGACAAGGAATATTCAGAGATGATTTGCCATTTACTTCCTGTAAAATACAGCTTATTGCACCTGATATTACTTGGTGGTCTCCTGTTCTATTACTAACTAACTATCACCCTGCTTAGCTTCCAAGGTAGTCAGGCTCTGATGCCTTCAGGTTATTTAAGCGTATAACCTACTATTGTAAGGAAATGTGTAACTCTATGAATGAGAAATCTCCAAGTCCCCTTATCATCAACAGCCCTTCACAGATCTTGCAGCTCCACGAACATGGCTTCCTTGATTGAGTCTATCCAACTGGAATGTGATCTTTCTCTTTTCCTACTGTCTTCTGTTGAGATGTGTACTAATAACATTAATACAGGCTTTCTCTTTCTAGACTTGTAGCATTGGTAACTGTTTTCTGAACTGTTAGGTTATCCAGTTTTGGGATTCTAATGTATGCCTGTGGTATAGTGAACCGTTGCCGACTGCGTCTGTTTTGGTCTTCAGAAAATGTATGACAATGGAACTGGTTCTGGCAAACTTTTGACATCATTGGTTCAGATATGACAACAGCTGAAAGATGAAACAACTTTATCTAGATACTAAATTTGGGTTATAATAAAATGTGTCAGTCTTTACAATGGCAGCACAGCCCTGTTGTTTTGACTGTGGCAGACTAATTTATATACTGAGGAAGAAATTCATTTCAAACTCACTTCAAAGTTAAGCATGCTTATGGCCCTTACTCAAAACAGCTCTAATGAGGATTGGACATACTTGGTGGAGAATGTTCTGATCTCTGCTTGGTGAGCTTTAGTGTGTTTCCTTCAACTTTTTTCTCCGGGCTTCTTTGTGGAGGCTGAGAAGAAATGGTTAGATCAGGGGTCTTCAAACTTTTTAAACAGAGGGCCAGGTCACAGTCCCTAAAACTGTTGGAGGGCCGGATTATAATTTGAAAAAAACTTGAATGAATTCCTATGCAAACTGCACATATCTTATTTGTAGTGCAAAAAACACTTAAAAACAATACTGTAATTAAAATGAAGAACAATTTTAACAAATATAAACTTATTAACATTTCAATAGAAAGTGTGGGCCTGCTTTTGGCTGATGAGATAGAATTGTTGTTTTTGTTGTGTGCTTTCAAGTCATTTCAGACTTAGGTTGAACCTGAGCGAGGGCCTTAGTTTGAGGACCCCTAGATTAGAGAAATTGAAGTAAAGGTTTAAAATGATGACTAGGAAGATAGTTAAGCTTCCTCTGTGCACAGGTTTTAAGTGTTTAGTGGAGCTGAAATCTTACCCTAGATTTTCTAAATTCTGAAACCTTTCATTACCATCCATAATATAATGTTACGTTGCATTCTAGGGAGTTTCATGATTGTTAGTTGGTCTTTTTGCTTTCTTTCATAGATATGTCATTTACTGAGACATGTTTCTGGAACAGAGCCTCTTGAAATTACTTGCCTACATGCAGAAGACACATTTCAGGTGACTGGGCCTCAGGTATGAGTAGTTTCCAACTTTCTGATCTTGAAAAAACAGTTTTGTTGTATATTTGTGCTTATAGAATTTAAATATATGTTTACTTGGACTAGCAAAACTAGGAAGAGGTGTAAATGCTTCAGAGAGAGAAAGAAAAGGTGTAATAAAATGGATAACCTCTCTGGCACAATGGTAGCAACAACAATAGAGTGAATAAAGCTTTCCCTCCTGATGATGATTGTAGAAACCTTCACTAATTTATGGGTTTTCCTTCAACAAAATGCATCAAAACTGGCAAATATATCAACACATAACAATGCAAAAAATATAGTAGGATTGGGAGTAATAAGAGTGTTGTGTGTTTCTTAGAAAGCTTTGGATTCATGAACATCTTAATAATAAAACTTCTTTTGCCGGGGGGGGGGGGGGGGGGGGAACCTAGTTATGGGATCATTTTTAGTAACTGGTATTCCACAGCAACAGTTCAGGTGGAACAACAATTAGGGGTACCTAAATTTCTTCTAATTTTTGAAATCTAATGGGAATTATATTGCTTATACTTAATAATATAATTGAAGTGTGTTTTTTTAATTACTAATTTAACAAAGCAATTGGATCAGAATGAATTTGCTTAAAATCTTCCAGTGAAATCCCTTAATGTTTGTAAGCCTTTGCTGAGTAAATGCTATGTTAGCTCTTTTTTTAAAAGAAATACAAATGAGAACTGTTTGTTCTTTGCCTCTGGGGATGGGTGTTGATTAGCAATTTCATGTTACAAAGCAAGATCCGCTTGTTGTCTTCAGATAATCTCTGCTGCCGAAACTCTGACTTTGCATCCTTCCAGTAAGATTGCAAAAGAAAATCTGGATGTCTTCTGTGAGGCTTGGGAGTCCCAGCTGAGCGATATGTCCCTGCTCCTAAGAGAAATCAGCGATGTGTTTGAAGGAAGACGAGGTGAGAGGGCTGTTCTGAGATACAGGCAACCTGCTGCTCTTAAATACAAGCTACCAGTTTACTACACACGCATTTTCTGAGTGCTGTAGTTGTAATGTAAAGTATTTGCTTTCATAAAATCTGTAATGACAACTTGGAGCCATTTTGTGCAACTAAAATGTGTATATAAGTTTGGAGGGCAGGCATCAAGCTCCAAAAACAAGGGACATGTGTCAGAAAGACCCTCTAGACCATATGTCCTTAGAGTGGTGTTTGAACTATATCAGTTTGACAAGAATAGTCAGTTTGCAGACAGCTTAATTTCACAAGCCTTTTTCAAGTGATTAGCTCAAGCTTCTGCAAAAGTAATCAGTTTCTAACTGAGCAATATGCTAAATGGGGAGGAGATGAGGAGACATAGAGATGGCAGAGAGAGGAAAAGGAGATGTGTATGGCTACATTTGGTTTCTTGGCCCAATCCATTCCACTCTTGACATGCAGTCCCCATCCTGCAATAGGTTAGCTCTGAGGGAATGCTGTCCTCAAGATGAATTAAATTGCCCACCCCTAGCTGAAAGAGTCATGCAGGTTTCCATTACAGTTGTTAGCCCAGAAAACACTGGTGTACCTATGATGCCACATAAAGTGCGAATCAGTGCCTAAGTGCTTTGATAATGAATCTGAATCCATCTTGTCTTTTGTTTTCCAATGTGATTATGAGTAGCATGCTGAGAGCAAGTCTTTTGTAATTTTAATTTTACTGCAGCCCCCTGAGACTGGCATGGAACACTTGAAAAAGTAGATTTTTTTCTACTTGAAAAAGAAAATAATCTATTGTTGTTGTTTTTATATGTGTTGTTTTATACATGTAAAGCACTGAATTTTGCCATTATTTTGGGAAACGCTTTGAGTCCCCCTAGGAGTGAGAAAAGCGGTATATAAATGCCCCTGGTGGCACAGTGGGTTAAAGCGCTAACCTGCGGAACTTGCTGACCGAAAGAGGCTCAAATCCGGGTAGCAGCGTGAGCTCCTGCTGTTAGCCCCAGCTTCTGCCAACCAAGCGGTTCGAAAACATGCAAATGTGAATAGATCAATTGGTACTGCTCTGGCGGGAAGGTAACGGCACATGTAGTCATGCTGGCCACATGACCTTGGAGGTGTCTATGGACAACGCTAGCTCTTTGGTTTAGAAATGGAAATGAGCACCAACCCCCAGAGTCCTACACTACTGGACTTAATGTCAGGGGAAAACCTTTACCTAAGTGCAATAAATAAAATAATAAAATAAATCTTTGCCTAACTATTCCCATAGATAATGCTGACAGAGAAGTGGTTTTTGAGCTCTGTGTACCTCAAAGACTTCTGTCTCCTTTGATTTGAGAACTGAGGAATGTCCCTTTGTCAGCACTGGCACTCCCGCACTTTGCCATAGGATGCTTGGGTAGGGTGGGGAAATTCATGCCTAGCAGCGGGTGCAAGCAAACCGCAGGGAAAGCTTTGAGAACAGCTTGTCCTACACTGGGGAGCTCTGATAGGCATCTAAGGAGCCCCGGGACATTGTTATTTGGAAGCCACTATTCTAGAGGAACAGAGTTTTATTATAATACAATGAAGCAATTGTATAAACCTTGCTTTTCATGGCAGTGCAGCAATAAATTAACTTCAGAGGCTTAATAGTAATACAAAGCAGTTGAAATATTTTTGTGAGGGAGTTATAAAGAGGCCTTTTTTCAGTCTGACCAGAACTGTCCAATATTCTTGTAAAAGAAACACGCTTTATTTCTGTACTGTCTGCTTTCTTTCTACTCACTTCACAATGTAGTGAATGTAGCTATTTGATTTTTAAACTGCTCTCCTTTCTGCTTGGATGGGATCTCTCTGATGACTCTACACAACTTTTGGCCTATTTTCTGTGGTTGGTAAGTCACCTGGTATTTGTATAGCATGTAGAAAAGAAACTGTAAAAGTGCCTGTTTGTCTCTTTAATGTTCTTGCCCAAGGCGCTGTAGTGGTATTTGTCATAAGACCTCATTTCTAAACATAATTTAATTTTCTTGAGAAGAGTTTCTCTTTGGGTTTTCAGGTTTTATGGAAGAAACTTTCTCGTCGAATTGTGCCATTCTTCATGTTATAAAAATGTAACGTCTCTGATGTATTTATTCAATTGTGTCTTTTACTGAAAATGATCACTCAGGGCAAAAAAAAGAAGTTAGGTTTGACAAAATCAGATACTGCTATGTGCCAAAAGGGAGGCTACATCAAACCTGGTGTACTCCCTATTCATACTGCATTGCCTTTCGGAGGACCTGTGTCCAGTCCACTGTATTCCATTTGGGAGTCGTATAGTGTGAGAACTGGGCCATGATTTAAAAATATGTAGTCCCTTCTCTTTCATGGGTGTTAAACAGATATGAGATTCTGCTATCACATATTTCCTTAGAATGATTGCCAGCTAGCTTGTATCTGTGATCCATTTTTCACATATAGTTCCTAGATGGTTTTACAACTTTTAAAAAAATTATCTCTGTGTGTGAGTGAAACAAGGCAACAATAAACACGCAGAAGGGAGTAGGATTAGACCTAAAAGTAGGAGCCCCCGGTGGTGCAGTGTGTTAAAGCGCTGAGATTGTTGACCGAAAGGTCGCAGGTTCGAATCTGGGGAGTGGTGTGAGCTTCTGCTGTCAGCCCCAACTTCTGCCAACCTAGCAGTTCAAAAACATGCAAATGTGAGTAGATCAATAGGTACTGCTTCGGCGGGAAGGTAATGGCGCTCCATGCAGTCATGCCGGCCACATGACCTTGGAGGTGTCTACGGACAACGCTAGCTCTTCGGCTGAGAAATGGAGATGAGCACCACACCCCAGAGTTGAACACGACTGGACTTAATGTCAGGGGAAAACCTTTACCTTTACCTTTTTTAGGATTAGACCAGGCATGGGCAAAGTTTGGCCCTCCAGGTGTTTTGGACTCCAACTCCCAGCATTCCTAATAGCCTCAGTCCCTTTCCTTTCCTCTCTCAGTGGCTGAGGGGGAAAAGGAAAGGGACTGAGGCTGTTAGGAATTCTGGGAGTTGGAGTCCAAAACACCTGGAGGGCCAAACTTTGCCCATGCCTGGATTAGACAGAAAACTGCATCAGAATGCAATCAGATGGTATGCATCTGTTTTGTATTATTGTATAGAAGCATCAGGGTAGAGCTTTTGTGTTCTTAAGAGATGAGTAGAAGAATTTCAGCCACTGCAATTTCTTTGCTGTGGTGACACTGGAGGATTGAACAGCAGCTACCAAAATTCTCAATTTTAGATGCAAACAGTTAAAGGCACTGGAGTTCCATCTTCAAAAAAAGATATTGGTAGCATCCTTGGCCAAATGATTTATCATGCTCAAATTGAAAGAAAGATTATATCCTGCCAGGCACTTGGTTTTAAAGGAGAACCGGATGTTATCTAGCTTTGCTTGTGTATTCAATAGAAAGTCAGCCATTTGTCATTGTATCTGTAGCTGTTAAAATGGGAGAAATTCTCCCTTTCCTACTTAAATCTGTATTGTTTTTCTGCTCCTCCTATTGTGGACTCTTGATCTAATACACATTTATAAGACAAAAATTATATGTAAATGGGAAAGTAGGTTTGAGATATATGAATAAGTGCTCTTTGGAAACAATATAAGGGAAATGTATTTCTATCTTACCTATGCTTTTCTCTCCTCCTTGGTATTGCTGAATTACCTTTAAAAGCACAGCAAGCATATTTGGCAAAGAGTTTCTCCTTTCTTCTATTTGGACCTTGTTTTTGTTTGATGGGCCTAAGATGAGAGATCTGAGAAAACTGAAGCAACAGTAACAAAAGAGGAACTTATTTTGATTTGTGTTTTTAGAATAAATGATTTTCAATTCACAGAAACAATTGTCCACAGGCCAATACTGTATATGTTTCCCACAGTAAATATTAGGAGCTGGTTCTCAGAGAGAGTACTACCGATATTGGTAGAGAAAGCTTATTCCAGAATAAATCCTGTTAATTCTAGGTTTACACATCTAGATCAGGACCCAAACTAGGAATGTTAGTTGTATGTACTTTAGTATACAGTAGACACAGAGACTGTGATCAGACAGTATTTCGCTACCATATTTCCCCATGGGTTAAGGAGCATGGGAAATGCCCACTGCATTGCTGTGGCAAACACAGTTTCTATATTTAGCATAGGTGTTTGTTTATCTTATCTGAGATATACATTGCCCCAGATGCAAAAAGTGGAATAAATATTTAATGTTTCCCTAAATTTCTTTTAAATTGGAATTCAAATCCAAAGCACACCTCACCATTTTGGGAGCTATGCGTTGCACTTTAAACTATATTGTATAACATTGTCAATGAAATGTTTTCTATGTATTCTATATAAACTTAGGAAATGTATGTATTCTATGCACCTAAATTCTTTTGATGTTTTGTGCATTTGAAACAGTAAATGTATCCCTTAAGGAGAATGTGAGAGGGAGCAGCCTTCTAAATCAATTGGCTATATTTTGATAGTTTATATCAGAGTAAATTGATGACTTGGCATTCATAAAAGAATTTGGTGCAAAATTAGAAACATGAGGAGATATGATCCATTATCCAGAACCCCCAAATTCATTCATTTGTGGGCTAGTTTCCTACAGTTTGCCACTTGATTTACAAACATATTTTTTACAGTAATGTACTTTTTTAAAATGCCACTTTACAAATTTTGGGTTTGATATTTGGAATGTGATGGGAAAGGTATGTTTTTAATATTTGTGGGACAAATATTCTTTGCTTTTGGTGGTGGTTAAAGGATGAAGACTAACCCAAATGTGCTGGACACTTTCTAATAAATGAAGTGTATTTTTACAATCAACAGTTTGGCTCAAACTTAATTTGTGTTCTCTTTACTTTATGGGAGAAAGCAGGAACGCACCGCCCCCATCCATGTACCCCCCAGAACGTTCTCCGCTGTCTCCGGTCTTAACCAATTGTGGTTTACTCTTTCTCTTTCCATTTGACATATGTTTTGGGCTTTCCGCAGCCCATTCAGAGTCCTTTCCACTTTAATATATTTTTATGTGCAGCTGTTGTATTGTATTTTCAGTGGAAGTATTTGGATTCTGGCAATTTTCAGAGACAGAAGACTGAGCTAAAATGATGTGGTTGTATCCAGTGTGGTTGTAACTATGTCCAGGAACATAGTCACAACCACACCATCAGAGCTGCTCTGAGGGTGGAATTATTTTCACCAGCAAAATCAATTGAGTGATTCTCTCTACAATCTTCTTACTCTGAAACCTCAAAAACCTATTCTGAAACATTAATATAACATCGGATTTAGGCCATCTCGAAGTACATTACCTCTTTCTTCCTTTTCCTTTTTCTCAAACATTTGATTAAAATCTGATACACTAAAATTTGGTTGGTTAAAAAGTCAGAATGGTTTGCTACTGTATGGTGGCCAGGGTTGGAAACATTTGCTGGGCAGGAAAGAGAAGTCATGTTTTGAAGGAGGAAAATGGGTAAATCATTATTTATACACATAAGATCTGTGGGTTCAAGTGAAAGAGAATCTCCGGCCAGTCCCTCCTCCCTGCAAATGGAATACCACCTGGAAACCAGACGGGAGCATGCAAGGATTCTTTGGTGAACAAGTATCCTTTGTATCTAATATATACTATGGATTTATATATACTAAACATGACTTTAACACAATGCATTTGCCTCTCTAAATGCAGTTTTTAAAGTGATCTTGAGATTCATTTATTAAATCTGTAATTTTGCTGATGATTCAGAAGGTTAGATCAGTCTCATAAAAAGTATCCACGGGTTTTATTATTATTATTTTGCTTCCTTGGCGGGAACATGCATTTCCATGCTGGCTATGGTACAAAGGGAGCCCACTGCTCCACAAATGGCATGGAAATGGAGGCTGTTGATATTTTATCAGGCCAGCAGAAACATCTGCCTTCTTTGCCAATCCACATAACAGAAGACAGAGGGACAGGAAAATCTCTTCTTTCTCCACGTGCGCTCTGCTACATTTCTTATTGATCCAGGAAGAAGCAACCTTCCTTCTCCAACAGATAGCATAGAAATCAAATATCCTTCCTTTGCTAGCTCAATTAATCACTTGGGTGGAGGTCCATGAAGGTGCCTGCATAGAATTAATGTATTGGATAGGATCCCAAGGGTCATTTAGCCCAATCCCCTATAGGAATCTGCTCCTTAAGCCATCTTAAGTGAATATCAGTACACTCTAGCTTATCCAGAAACTATCAGAATTCTTTAAATAATGTCTATATGACCTTGAGAAGCCTGGAATATACCCTTCATAAATCAGTGGTTCGCAACCTGTGGGCCCCAGATACTTTGGCCTTCTACTCCCAGAAATCCTAAAAGCTGGTCAACTGGCTGGGTTTTCTGGGAGTTGGAGGCCAACTGGGGACCCACAGGTTGAGAACCACTGGCATAGATATCTGAACTGTGGCTTGGCATAATGTTTGAAATGGTAAGCTATGGCCTGCTGTGAACCAGGATGCCACAATCAGAAGCCATGACTTAAGCTGGAATTTCATCCCCTGCTAAGCACTGATTTGTTATGCGGACTGAATTGACAAACTATAATTACATATGGCAGCTTCTTTATTATCTGAGGCCATTGAACCCCCAAAATATTATCAGTGAGTATATGGAAGTAGACTTTAAAGACAGGTGTATTTCCTTTTGAAGGTCAAATCACAGTTTGAGATCTTAATTCTGTTTAGTATGATAACTTTGGCATGATGCCTAAAATTTACTGACTGCTCATAAAAAAGGAAAGGCAGTTCCTATGACACAATAATCATGGCATCATCAAGCGAAATGTAAGCAAGTAAAATTCTCTATGGCTCCATTAGAGTGTAGTATATGCTGACACTGATTTCAGCAGAACGAGCCTTAAAAGTATTCAGAATGTGTCGGTATCTTTTTTACTGTGGCCCCTTCTATGCTGCCATATAATTCAGTTCAAAGCAGATAATCTGGATTTTATATGCCAGTGTAGAAGGTGCCTCTGTCATTTGAAATCTGCCCTTTTCTTCTGCAGTCTTAAAATGCTTTAATATATACTTTACTTGTGGCATTCTTATAGTTGATCATATCTTAGATGAAGAGTAAAGATTTTCAGCATTCTGGTTTTACAGAGGCTATTTTTGCAAGTTTGGATATTAAGATTTTAAACCAGTAATATTTAGGTTCACAGCTCATCCTCTTAACTATTGCCCTAGTTGTTATGATGTCAGCTTTCTTTCAGCTGTAGAAATACCCCTCCTCTCCCCCAGTTGAGTGTTTAGAAAGATAGTGGGTCTATCAATCTATCTATTTCAAGGCATCATCCTCATTTTAAAAACATAAAAAATTTAAAATAAAGCAGACACTGCCATAAGAAGCCTCTCCATGAACGTGAAAGGGCTCTTTCCCATGACCTCTCCAAACGGGCCTGCGATGGTGGTAGGATCAAGAGAAAGTCCTTCTCTGTCAATCTTAAACCTCTTAGGTTCATATGGAAGATTTTAGAATTACAGTTCTAGTGTTGGAGAGGTGGGGCTCCCATTCTCCTTGCCATGGCTTTCAAGTATGATAGATGTAAGGAGTAGTAGAAAATCTCTTTTATACAGAAAGCAAATAGGCAAAATGCCAGTCCCATGTGATCTATGAAGAGGACTCATTAGAGGTAGGTTTAAAAAAAACCTGAGAAAATTTTCTTGCATTGCCTCAAGACATAAAGCAAGTTGGGGGGCATGTATGAAATCTAAATGACCACTTTTGGTGTGTTGTTCTTAGGAGAGAAGCGTACATACCTGTCACTACCCAGGCCAGGGGTAAGTTCTTTATCTTTACTTATAAGTTCATATGCAGAAAAATTAATTAGCCATTTTCCCATGTATTACCACATTTACCCATATTTTTTCAGTGACATATTTTTTCACAAGCTGGAATACAGCGGCCAAAATCTCATTTTTGTTGGCTGGTTACAACCCCATTCTGACAACAAAAGTTGCCCTTTATTTGTTTAAAGCTGCTAAAAGGATATCAAGAGTACATAGATCAGATTGGGGTACAGTGTAGGGGGGATGAGGATAGTTGATGTATATATCTACGGCTAAGCTACATTGGTTTCAAGCTGACAAATACCAGTATATTTATATTTTATTTTAAGAGGACTAGATGTATGTTGTATGTGGTGTTTGCATTGTCTGTTTTTGAGAAGGCCGAGTAGCTAATCAATAAAAATTGTTCGGTTTTCTGTGACAGAAAAACACCTCACTGTGTCTGCGCTTCGCAGAGAAACCCATTTGCATTTATATATTCACTCGCTAAATCAGATTGTGAAAGATGGACAAGCCGTTATGAAATATTATGAAATGTTATTAAATGCAGCTTAGATGCCACAGCTACAAACATTGATAAGTTTCTGGATGCCTCTGGAAGGCTCTCCTACCTCACCTGTGAGGGGTTATGAAGTACAGGCAGTCCCCGAGTTACAAACATCCGACTTACAAATGACTCCTATTTACAAACTGGGATGAGACAACAGGAAGTGAGTGAAATCTACCCCTAGGAAGATAAAGCCTGAAAAAGTTATCATGGGGGAAAAGGTGTCTCTGTTGGAATTCAACCCTACACGGCTCAAGTCTACAGTTCTCAATGAGGAACAGCTAGTTACTTAGGAATAGGCTGAGGGAATCCCTTCCCCCCGATTCCTGAATGACATTTGGAATATATCTATTATTATTTTTGTAAATAAATATTTTATACTTTTTAAAGATTGAACTCTGCACATTTTCCCCCAAAGCTCTAAATTCTTTTCCAGCCTCATCATTTCACGCTGTTCTTGCTGTGAGTTGAATGCTAAACTATAATATCCTGTTTGTATTTTGGATGCCCTGCTGTATTTTGGGGAGTTTTCCCTAATAGTCTACACTGAAACTTTATCATCAATTGTTCAGTTTCCAACTGGAGAGCAAAGGATTGGTGTTTCTATCCTCTGCAAAGCCACAATAATAAGCAGCACCCATGTTGCAAGTTGTTGTTGAAATTTCACTTGCTGACAGGAGGGAAGTGAAAATGCAACCCTTCTTGCTTACTGAATGGCAGTTGAATGAAACCTTCTTTGCTCAATCCAGAGGCTGGCTCTTAATGTGGGGAGGTAATTTTAAAAGCATTAAAACAACATATAGGAAGAAACTACATGTTGATGGGAAAGAGTAGTTGCCTTCTTTAAACAGTAATTCACTACTATATTCCAACCTTAAGAAATGGGGCTACAAAGTGGAATCCACGACATGTGAGTGTGGAGAAGAACAAACCACAGACCTACTGCAATGCAACCTGAGCCCTGCCACATGCACAATGGAGGACCTTCTTGCAGCAACACCAGAGGTGCTCCAAGTGGCCAGTTACTGGTCAAAGGACATTTAATAGAATACCAAGTCTGCAAATTTTGTGTTTTGTTTGTTTGTCTGTTTTTTAATGCAATACAACTGTTTTGGTTTGCTCCTGACACGATAAATAAATAAATACTACTATATTATATCATTAACACCTGTTTAGTCAGTAATATCTTATTTCTGATGGTAGCTTTGTTAGACTCTAAAATTTAAAATAAATAGTCTACTGGAATCAAATCCCATTCAGTAAACTTTTTTTTTCATTTTTTAACAGAAACATAATTCAAATTTGAAAGCTTTAAAGCCAGTCAGACTTGACAGTGAGGTAAGATGCTGGTTATATATCTACTGATACTTATTTACACTATTTATTGGCCTATGAAGAAAAGAGAATAACTCTTATGTCATTCTCAGGAACAAAACAAACTTGGGAAAGTAGGCTTAGAACTGCATAAGCTGGCAATTCGTGTTGACTCCGAGATGGAGAAATGGGAAGACCCAGAAAATGAGATTGTACGACATGCTCAAGGCCTATCCAGCATGGCCTATTCCATGTATTTATTTACAAGGTAATCACAAAATGGGCAGAGAGGGAGGATTATTAAAGAAAAAACAATATGTAAAAGGTAGATAGTCATTCTTGTGAATCTTTCTCTTTTCTGTGTTCCCCCATGTCCCCACCCACATCTAAATTTTCTTTTCCTTTTAATGTTATTTTAAAGTCTAAATGACACATTATGCAAAAAAAATGAATTGAAAATTGAAAAAAAATACATATTGCTTGCCTTTTGAAGAAACCAGTCAAATGCTTTCTTGGAGTATCAATACTGAGGTCCCCTAATGCTCTAGCATGCAGTGAAATAAGGCAGGCCACAATTGTTTCCAAAGTTGCCACAGTTAAGCATATTTCAGATTCCATACAGTTCAAGAGTTTGATTTACTATATTCCTAACCCAATTCCCACAATCCCCAACTGGGAGTATGGATTCTGAGTGGGGCTGAGACTTCTGGGAAATAGGTCTGGTGAACAACAGCTCTAAAAGACTCAAAGATAATTGCTAGAGAACCTTGTATTCCTGATTTTTTTTTCATTCAGATGATTTGATAAGATACTGTAGGTAGAGTCCAAAAATGTGAGAATTGTTTGGCAGTTATTTCAAGTGTCTGTTCTTCCCTATTCTGAACCTAATCTAGGCAAATATTATTGCTGACATTCTGCATTTCCTCCTTGGTTGAAATGATCTGTTCAGCCCTCTGCAAACTGCTATATTTGCAAAGAGCTTGCTTTTGTGTGTGTGAGGCTGCGGGTTCCTTAATCCAATCTTCTGCATATTTCCTCAAAAATAAGTGCCATTGATTACAAACAGGCTTATGCTGAAGTATGGACATGATTCCAGACCAAGTCCTACAAAACCAGATGCTCTGTTGTGGATACAAAATTACTATGATTTTCTTATGATACTGATCCCCAGTCTTTCCTAATCTAGCCATCGAGATAACAGTAGAATAATTCTTGAATGATTGAATCTTTTAGTCTTCTTAGGTCCATAGGAATTGTAGGTTAAATTATATTCAGGCTGTTGATGAAATTGCATTTTCTTTTCTTTTATCCATTTTAGAGGGGAGGGGTTGCTGAAGACGACCCAGGATTTATTTCAACAAGCAGAGGTAACAAGGCAACCAAAATGAAATTTTAGTTTCGGGCAATGTACTTTGGGCAGTGAGAATGTTGCTGAGTCCCCATCCGGCATTTTCCACAAACTATTGCAAGAAACTATTTGTGAATGTCGTTTGGAGCAGGGTTTGGAGTCTTTGGCCATATCAATGTTCTGCATGTCAATTTCTAGAAATCCCATCCAGCTTGGCCAGTGGTGAAATATTATAAAAGCTGCAATCTAAACTATCGAAAGACCAATAGTTTCTTACCCTAGAAATTTGGTTGTCTCGTAATGCACAAGTATATGCAGAGTATTATTACAAATTTTAAAGCTGTTACCTAAATGTGCTTGTTACGAGCTTCCAGTTTGTGGCCCATTAAGCCAAACACGACTCATCAGCTATATTTGGGAGCTCAACATTAAATGGCTTCCTGGGACTGGAAAAACATTAGGAATGCTGCCAAATCCATCCTTTTCTGAACTGTATTTGACTAGTTGAGTCACAGGCAGCAGGCCGAGCATATGTAGTGAAGGGAAGAGAAAGGGGTAGAGTTTTTTTGTTTTTATTTGGGAGAAAGGCTCAATTTATCTCTCTTTTTCTGTTTTAGGCCTTTGCAACAGAAGGATTAAAGCTTGCCTCGACTCTTCTTTCATTTTCTAATCAGGTACCTTACAATTTCCAAAGATTGAAACTCATGCTTCTTAGCGATCTCTTTGTCTTTGTCATTTTCTTCTAAAATAGCCATTGTATTTTTCCTCACATCTTACAATCTTCTTCCAGATGATATAGTGTGCCTACCCGATGATGGCGATGATAATAATAATATTTATAATACATTGTACTACTCTCCTGATGGCTTGAGATGGGGTGCCTCTCCTGATGCCTTGAGATGGAGTACACAAAGCCAAAACATATTAGTGTAAAATACATACAATAAAATCTATATAAATAAAAATGTAATGTTTGTGGGATTAACATAACTCAGACACCACTGGACAAATTGACACCAAATTTGAACACAAGACAACAACTAAAGCAATCTATGTCCTTCACTCAAAAATAAACAAAAAAATTAACTGGAAAGAACTTAAACCCCCACAAGCCTAAATGACTATACAGAGCATGCGTTAAAAGAACACCTTCTCCACCCCTCCCTCCTGCAGGAGAGAAAAAAACCCAACAGCTGAGAGAGGTAGCTTGAGAGCGAGAGGGAAAGGTGGCTGGTATATCCCTCTTGCTACCCCTGCCTCTCTCTTCCCAAAGGATTCAGAGAGCGGGAGGGAGGGAGGGAGGGAGAGAGAGAGAGAGAACACTCTCCTCCAGATCTATGCCCTACCTTTCCTTCTTTATTTATTTATTTATTTATTTATTTATTTACTGCATTTGTAGACCGCCGTTCTCAGCCCTAGGGCGACTCACGGCGGTGTACAACATATAAAAAAACAATTTACCATAAAGGCAATATCACAAACAACAATAACAACATCACTATCAATAATACAATTACACTAACTCATTCGCGACGTCTCATCATAGAATCACAATCCAATCTCGTTATCCATATTCCGTTCCAATCATCATTGCCAATTGTTGTAGCACTTAGTCAAACGCCTTCTCAAACAACCACGTCTTTAGTCTCTTGCGGAATGTCATAAGGGAGGGCGCCTGTCTGATGTCTACAGGGAGGGTGTTCCACAGCCGGGGGGCCACCACCGAGAAGGCCCTATCCCTCGTCCCCGCCAGGCGTGCCTGTGAGGCAGGCGGGATCGAGAGAAGGGCCTCCCCAGACGATCTCAAAGTCCTCGTGGGCTCGTAGGCCGAGATGCGGTCAGACAGGTATTTTGGGCCGGAACCGTTTAGGGCTTTGTAGGCCAACACCAGCACCTTGAATTGGGCCCGGTAGCAGATCGGCAGCCAGTGGAGCTGGAACAACAAGGGCGTTGTGTGCTCCCTGCGTCCCGCTCCTGTTAGTAACATGGCTGCCGCGCGCTGGACTAGCTGGAGCTTCTGGGCCGTCTTCAAGGGCAGCCCCACGTAGAGAGCGTTGCAGTAGTCAAGGCGGGATGTGACCAGAGCGTGTACTACCGTGGCCAAGTCAGACTTCCCAAGGTACGGGCGCAGCTGGCGCACGAGCCTGAGCTGTGCAAATGCTCCCCTGGTCACCGCTGAAACCTGGGGATCCAGGCTCAGCGATGAATCCAGGATCACACCCAAGCTGCGAACCTGCGCCTTCAAGGGGAGTGCGACCCCATCCAGCACAGGCTGTAACCCTATACCCTGTTCGGCCTTGCGACTGACCAGGAGTACCTCTGTCTTGTCTGGATTTAATTTCAATTTGTTCTTTTCCTTTCCTTTCCTTTTCTTTCCTTTCTCTCTTGGGTCTTGGCTGTTTTTGTTCCAAAGATATTTAGCCCTGTGCTCCTTCTATTTTTAATCAGTTTTATACTAGTTTATGCAATGCTTTTGATACGAAATAAATAAACATCTATAATAATAATACCTACATGCCTTTAATAATATTTATGTCTATAATAATATCTATACATCTGTAATAATAACAATACCTAGATAATATCTTTGAACTGGGTTATATGGCAGTGTGGACTTCGGTAACCCAGGGCCCTTCCACACATCCATATAACCCTTTTGCCTCAAGGAGACTGAAATGGACCTGTATTAGGTTGACACTTTGCCACTTCAGTTGTGTATTGATAGCTTAGAAACCAGCTCTTCCTCTTTCCTTTATTTCCCATTTCTCCACAATGGCCCACAGCAACGCTTGGCCAGGCACAGCTAGTACATAGATAAAAACACACCAATATAAAAAAAATACACCAAATGCATTTACCAAATTAACATATAGCAGCAATAGAATGTAAATCAAAACTCATGATTGAAAGTTGACTGGGTAGGCCTGCCAGAAGTGATGTCTTCAATTGGGTCTTCAATTTTGACAGCTCAGCTAGTAGGTCGTTCCAAAGTCTTGGAGCAGCTGATGAAAATATCCTCTGGGTGACAATCACCGATTGGGTTCGGGCTGGTTGGAAGAAGCTTCCCCCAGAGGACCTCAGTGTCTTAAAGGACAGATCTTGCTGGAGAAGGCAATCCTATAGGCAACTTGGACCCAAACCATTATGATTTATATCGTGCTTTTTCTCTCTTAAAAGAGAGACTCAAAGCATCTCACAATAAAACCAATACAATACAATCTTAATATAAAAATATACAAACATTAAAATGGATTTAAATATAAACAGTATTGAAAAATAAACAGATAAAACCCTTAAAACCAATTAACATATTCATAGCTGACCAACATCTCTTTCAGCTAGAAGATGATGACAAACCATTGCTTCTGCAAGAAATTGACAAGATGGTCCCTGCATATCAACAGCTTCAGGTAACAGCTAAAACCCCTGTCCAGGGTAAGACTGCAACTTTTACAAAGGTAAGTTGTTTAGTATCTCTTAAACAAAGTCTGGCTTCAGATTTTTGTGTGCAGTTTTATTTTTGTTCTATTACTAAACCCAGTGTTTGATTGTGTATGTTAAATCCTGAATAAATTGTGCAAACAACAAGTGTGCTTTTCAAGTTCTTCAATGAAGCCATTTTCAACTTGGATGGAACCTTCTTGTAACTGTAATGTCAAAGCAAAGGCTGGAATACTGTACCAGTTAATCTATAACTAGCTGCCTGGAAACACATTTGAAAAGCCGTTTTAGAAATCAATCACAATTCTGCGCTTCCCCTCAGCGGCTTGTCACCATGTGGGATGCACCAATTTGTGGAATCTCCTCATACTTTAAGTTAGCCCATTAATGCCATTTCAGCAAGTTCACATTAATGCTTGTTTCACGGCATTCTGAAAATAACAAAGGCCTTTTTTTCTTTTCCCAACAGTCATGAATAATAGGCTCTTGGGTATAGAGAAAGAAGGACACAGTTTCCATTTCAAGAATTCTCACTAATTTATCTTTTCACCAGTGAAGCGTTGAAATTATATTTAATTGAAAACCAGACAGGTTAGACTTGAGTCAACATTTTTGAGACACAACTGAACTTAAAGTTCTGCAAAAAGCCAGTTTAAATGAACAAGTACACTGTTTAGCTTCGTGCAGTTCTTGTTTATTTCAGCATGAAAAAGTACTCCCAGTTCAGGAGGGGAAAATCCTAAAGGGAAAACATGCAGTAGAGTGTGAACGACTACTACTGGATGTGCTTAATAGCAAATGTACTTTTTACAGAAAATGTTTCATAAACTTATATGACAAAGTTATCTTCTGTATTTAGGTAGACACCTGTATTCACAATGTAAAGTGTATTCTGGATATCCTGGCTCAAGTTCTTCCACTCAGTTGCAAGTTGCATAGAAAGGTGAGTTGATAAGCATGTAAATGTGTCAAAATAAACCTGAAGTGCCTCTTTATTTGAAAAACAAAATGTTTCTTTTCCAGCACAAGGCAGGAAATGGCTATTTCAGAGCGCATCGTCCTTGGAGAGAAAATGGCCTTCACACAGCTGCAAAAGAAGCCAGTGGCCCAGCCAGGAGAACTGACCTTTTTGGCATCAGGTCCCTGGAACAACATGTAGCAAACCTTACAGTTTGGGACAACAAACCCTTCTGAAGGTGCTTTAGGGGAATGAAAAAATTTCCTAATGGGAGTTGGACACAGAGCCGATCCTAATTGCTTTCTTTTGAGAAAGGTGAAACCAGGTTAGAAAAAGCTGTTGTAACCTTTTCACATCTAATAGATGTCACAGTCCTTAGCCATTAACAGAAGCAACAGTCTACTTTAATGGCTGAATACTTTTGTAAAGTAAATAGCTTTTTGTCTACTGTTAATACTGCTATTTTTGTAATCATGTATGCCCATGAATGTGTTACTCTTCAGATCTCAAGGATGCTGCTATGGATGTTATAAACATGAACTGGATATGTCACATGACAAGCTACTGTTTTTAATTAACTTGTGTGAGCCTAGGATCCTAGTCTATTAATAGCAGAGGGTTGCTTTGAACAAGGAGAGTAATGGGCTATCTCCTACCACTAGGTTCTCTCGCCACATATACCACTTTAACAACTTGTTGAGCAACAGAGGTGAGTGGGATGTGAGAAATGCAGTGTCTCTTAAAGGGCTAGATGGGTCCAAAGGCACCCATGCTGTTGTCCCTTCTTGTAGAAGTGTCGTTTAGTTGCAATAAAGCTTTAATAATGAAAGCCTTCAGAAACCTCATTTTTTATAAAATATGCTTACCAATGGAAAGCTAAAAATAAAGGTGATTGTTAGTGATATTAGAAACAAACTACACTTAGGAGTCTTCTTTAGCTATATTTCTTTTTCTATTACACACAACTTCATATTAGAAATGTTAATAGTGTGGACCTAAGCAACTATCAAAAATAACTGCTAAGCTATTTCGTGAAAGAACTGGGTTACAGGCGGTGGCCTTAAATGCAATGCTTGAGCCTTCACTTTTAGTGTGGTAGAACTAAGTTTCATTTGGAAGAAAGTTGTAGTTATTAAGGTCTATCACTACAAAGAGGGCATTACGTTTTCTTACATTTTTGGTAGAGATTAAATATTCTTCTCCAAGCGTCTTTTGAGGTGTATGTATATTTATTGTTTTAACTGATATATCATTAAATGCACCAGCCTGAAGTTTCACTGCTCATACTGTTACAATTTTTGGACCTTAAAAAATGTCCCATTTTCAGTGGGACAGAGTGCAGCAGGCACTTTCCGGGAAAGAAGTAGGCATACTAACACAGTAGTGATTTTAGAATAGCTGCATTGGTTACACAGACAGAGAGACAATATCATATTCACTTTATGTCCTGGGCTGCAGGTCCCTAGGATGAAATCCACTCACAAGAAAGCTTGGAAATAGATTCCTTTATTATCCAGATCAATACAGGATGGAGAAAAGGTTACTTCTGAGCTTTACGCGTGAAAAGCATTACTAATATCATCAGGCAAAAACTCCTCCTCCTTCTCAACCCCTTTTACCTACTTTGTTTACCTATTCCCATGCTCTAATCCCCTATCACTCTACTGCTAGCCCCATTACTATCACTTTTTGATTGTTATTGCTCTAGCTCTTTCGGTCAAACATTAACTCACAATCCATATATTCAGCATGCATACTTACCATCCCTCCTCCATTCATGCCTGCTGCTGGGGAGAAAACAGGCGAGTAGACAGATGCTACATATCCTTGAAGGTCTGACACACACTTGATAAGGAAGGTTTGCCTTATGTAGAGATTTTATCATCCATCATTTGATTGTTTTGATGGTCATTGTTGATTCTCCTTGACCAGGCGGAGCTTCATCAATCACCGAAATAATGGGTTGTATTTCAAGTTCCTTAATTTACAAAGTTGTTGTCTTTGACTATAGAAACACCATCTAGCACCCAGGGTTCTCAGTTTGGTTCATTATTTGTTTGTTTTTTCTTCTCTCAATAGCATTTTCCTTGCCATGAACTTTGTGATTCCTCACCTCCTTTGCTCTCCTATAATGCAATTCTCAACTTTCCATTTTTTGGGATGGTGACTTTGGTCTTGCTAGGTCTTAGCTAAACCCCAGATATTCAATCCATTCATTACACATATTTTAATATTGGTCATTCCTCCTTTCTCTGCACTAGAATAGAAACCAAACAACAAGAGGCAAAAAGGTTCCCTAGTTCTGTTCAACTTTTGAGATGCAAAATGGAGCTGTATGGCAGAAAGTAAATGGTGGGGGAGCATTTATCATTTCTTCAGTCACCCCAATTGTATCTCCACTTTCCTCTGTGGCATGTGCCAAAAGATAGGGAGTGTTAAGAAATGTCCTGAGGACCAGGCACACATCTGAAAAAGGGACTGCTGAGTTTGCTGGTTAAGATTTTAGCTTTAGCCTTGGCTGCCAAGCATAGTACTTCATTCAGGTGCATGCTTCAATGTTAAAATCCCCAACAAGAAAATAGTACCAGGTTTGATTAAAAGTTATCAAACTTAGGAATCATTTTCAAAAACACATGACAAATTATGTGATTTAAATAAACAAAAGCTTTTATTGATAATGAGGACTGGAAAAGTATTTTGGCAGTGCTCCTTTAAATACAATAGTACTGTTGTAACCCAATCAGGTTTTGTTCATACCACTGAAAGTGATATAATCAAATACTTGATGCTTTATATACTTAAAGCCTGGCTTTATTGTGTCTCATCTGACTGGAATTTTTTTAAACTTTCCCATCATGCTGTTCTGGTTTTACAGTATTTTTGCCCAATTCCTGACTCCTTCCTCTTTAGGTATGAAAGTCCATAAAGTCACTTTATTGTGGGATATACTGGAACCTATATTATACAATTCATATTTCTGCTATGAAATGTATTTAGTTCTCACTCTGTACTGTATCATGAAGTGGGATTAAACGTTTTGCCAACACTTCTTCATATTCTTTCCGTGTCAAGAGTCCCTCCGTTATTGTTTTGCTTTCTTCAAACTTTGGTAACACAACTGCAATGTATCCTTCTGTGGAAGGCTAAGGAGAAAAACAGAAGTGAGACAAAAAGCACAGGGAAGGTGCAGAAGTGGCTGATAATTCATATGAAAATCCTCACCTTTTCTTGGAGGAGAGATGGGTTTTCCAAAATGTTTTCATTTACTTCTATCAATTTCCCTCGTATACAGCTGCAAAAAATGTCCAGTTTAGTAATCTGATCAATAAAAGCAAGACAACTATAAAAAAAAAGCCTTGAAACGATACCTGTATATGGTGTATTCATCTCCATCTGTGCAGGATATTCGACACAGAGGGGCAAGCTCTGTTAGAAACTGAGCTCCCTGCAGAAAGAGAGCATGCAGAAATTAGGATTGCGAGAAAAGGACATACAGCAAACAGCTGGCCAATTTGTGACATCAGTGAGTATGCTTTAAAACTGAACAAGCTATTCTGCATATATCTAAGTATCTAGATCTGACCAGGACAAAAATATATAAAAATAATTTACATTATATATTACAGATCATCAGGTTTTCCCTTGTTTGTTTATGAAACACAATAGGCTGACCTTATGTGTTCTACTCTCTCTTGGCATACTATATCTCACAAGTTAATATTGCATATATATGGGAAGAGGTAGGTGGTGGGTTTGTTTTTGTTTCTTTTGTTTCCTTGGTTTATGGAAATGCTCTGCCATGCCCAAATAGAGACAACCAGTATTTGATTTGTTAAGACTAAGTCCCACACATTTCAGTATGTTTGAATCAGAGTTTAGCCCTCAACAGCTTGTCTGTTTGTTCTTGTTCTGAATAGTATCACCTCTCCTCCCTAAGCTGTCATCATGATTCAGAGCAGTGGAGAGAAAAGCATGAATACCAAAGTGAAGTTGGTGAGGCATGCATACAAAAAGAGAAATGTTCCTTTATTTAGTAAACCAGCCATTTCTCTTGCACCCTGATCTTAATCTTCCTTCCAGTTTCCTTTTTCCAAACAGAAATTCAGAGATGGTTCCCCTATCTCCCCGCAGACATCCCTACTGCGCAGCAATAGGTCATAATAAGTGTCATTTGCCAGCAAGGCGCATGTGTTCATGGCGTCACATTACACAGTTTATTCCCTTCCTTCTGATAGTCATAGATTCCTACTTGGAAGAGACTGCAAGGGCCTCTAGTTCTACCCCTTTGACATGCAGGAACACACAATCAAAGCATTACTGACAGATGGCCATCTAGCCTCTACTTTAAAATGTTCAGAGAAGGGACTCCACCATGCTCAGAGGCAGCATGTTCCACTGCTGACCAGCTCTTACAGGCTGGATCTACACTGCTCTATATCTCAGGATCTGTTCCTAGATTTCCTGCTTATCCCAGATTATTTCCATATACCATATTATCTGGCTGTGTAAACTCATATAATCCAGTTCAAAGCAGATAATCTGGGATAAGATCCTGGGATATAGGGAAGTGTAGATCCAGCCACAGTCAGGACATTCTTCTGAATGTTTATCCTGCCATTTCAATCCAGGAAAAAAAGATTCCATCTAACATTAGGAAGAAGGTCCTGAAAGCTGTTCTGCAATGGAATATGCTGCCTTAAAGAATACAGTCCCTTAAAGAAAAGAGAACCTTGGGGTATGTAACTGATCTTAATGATAAAATCACTTTGCTCGGAGCTATCATAATATTTTTTAAAGCAAACAAAACTTCCTAAACAGCGTTGCTTACACCGCAGAATTGAGTCAAAAATGGTCCATACCCGTTTGGATTTCCCAGAGACCTTATTTTGTAGTCGGCTGCAATTGGCACTTATCTGGTAACTAATACTCTTGATTTGTTTTCCCTTTTGAAGAACAGGATGGTCATCAGCTATAGTGATGACACAGATTCTACAAGAGAAGACATTAGAACAATCACCTTTTTAGTTCTTTCTCTGCATGAAGCAACAGTCTGACACGACTAGGGAAACTGATATTATAGTAGTTGTTCCTCGACTCACGCTCCACAGATTGTTTAGTGTGAGAAACCCTGATGTTCTCACAATTTCAGCCAGAGAAATAAAACCGCCAATATAAAAGAAGGCACTAGCTGACATAGTAAAAAAGTTACAAGGTTTTTCAATATAAAATGATTTAAATGCAGTTGCTAGAATAAAAACCCAGGTGAAAGAAAATATTTCTGTTCAGAACAATGATTTTACTTCAAGAGGCAGTGACCTCCATCCTGCTGCGAATAAGACATCCTGTTCAAAACAAAACTTCTCTTGATCAGAGTTAAACAAGAACATTCCACCTTGTTGGATTGGCACCAAAGACTAAAGTAATCCAACATTCTGCAACTATAGTCAGATGTTTTTGAGGTATTTCTCAAAATTTCAGGAAAGGGAGAGATCTCCTCCCGCCTTCTGAACAAAACTGAACCTTCAAAGGATAAAATCCTCCTAAAAATGATGCCCCTGTTCACATTTTTTGCAAAAATCCATGGTTTTCCCTTGTCTACCAAACTAGTATTAGTTATATATTTTCTGAACTGGAAGTGCTGTGGCCAGAAGAAAAATGCTAGAAGAAAAATGGCCCCCAGAAGGTAATCCATCCCTGTTAAAGAGCAAGATTTTGCATCAACTTGATGAAATATCATACTCTACATCCACTTCCTTCCCTCCACACATGGAACCGATATGATGCAAATCGTTCCCCTCCCATGTAGCCACTGGAGAGCCAGGCAGAGAGGTCTGGAAGACTGCTGCCTTCTTTGCAGAGCTGCTTCAGCAAATAAACATATGTAAATGGGGGCATCGGCAGCTATCATAAAGGTGTATGTGCCTATCATTGCAGACAAGATGAAAGAGACTCCTGTTTTCACAGCAACTGTAAAAGTATATACATAGGTTTATATCATCAAGTTTCCAGTGAACATATCTAACAGCCATAACTCTCCATACCTTTTACACTTCCGTTTAATGGCCTGTTTTTTCACTAGTCCACTATATCACCCCTCAATAGTAACTGACTCCACCATAAGTCTGAAAAAGCCAAAAGTATAAAAAAATGGAGAGATGGATTTATTCTAGAGTCCTACTACATGTTTCTCTTGCATATCTTGTTCTTTAAGCTTCTGGTTTTAATGTTTCAAAACCCTCTGATTTTAATGTTTTAACATTTTAACTTCTGGTCTG